TCCTTGTATGGACTAAAGCAATCACCAAGGGCATGGTACCAACACATTGATACATTCTTTGTGAGTGAAGGATTTGTAAGGAGTGAGGTTGATCATTCCTTATATGTGATGCAATCACATAGGTACATAATGATTGTCATCCTCTATGCTGATGATTTGATCATCTTAACCAATATATTGAAGATGATAGATTGGTTGAAGATAAAGTTAGAAAATGAGTATGAAATGAGTGAATTGGGAGAGCTTCACTATTGTTTAGGAGTGGAGTTTGTAAGAAATCGTTACAATGAGCCAAAGCAAGTACATTGAAGAAGTGTTAAAACGATTCAATATGGAGGAGTGTAAGCCTATTAGAACACCATTGGAGACAAACTTGAAGTTGATGAAGCTCACGGATGAAGAGTTTGCTAAAGTTGAAGGTCAAATACAAGGTGTTCTATACAAGGGAGCAATGGACTCACTTATGTATGCAATGGTTGGCACAAAGGTGGATCTTGCATATGCGGTGAGTGTTGTGAGCCAACACATGTCAAAGGCTGGACCAATCCATTGGTCAACCATCAAAAGGATTATGAGGTACTTAAAAGATACTTAGAACTTCAAATTATGTCTTGGAGGTGATAACATTAGTTTGCATGGTTATTGTGATGCAGATTGGACTAAAGATGCAAATGATAGAAGATCAACAATGGACTATGTATTCTTTGTTGGAGTGGGAGCAATTTTATGGAACTGCAAGAGACAACCAACAATTGCAAGGTCAACAATGGAGGCAGAGTACATGGCAGCAAGCCATGGTGCAATGGAGGCAATATGGTTGAGACAACTTTTGGAGGACATTAGAGATGTGAAAATGGAAGCAACTCCAATAGAGTGTGGTAATTAAGGATGTCTTCCATTTACAAAGAATCCAAAGCATCATTCAAGGACCAAACACATTGACATTCAATATCACTTTATAAGAGAGAAGATTGAAATAGGAGTGATTGATATGAAGTATTGTGCAACAAAGGAAATGCTTGCTGATTTGTTGACAAAGGCATTAGTAAAAGATAGACACCACATGTTAATAAAGGCATTAGGATTAAAAGTCATTTGACCAATAGCAAAGTAGGAGTGTTAAAGTAAAAGTAGAATAAGTTACCTTATAAGAGGATATTAACTTAGATAAGTTGGTAGTGGTCAAAGGTTTGACTCTTGGTATATGGTAAGGGCATCCAATGGATATAGGACAAAATCATGGACTAAGAGTCAAAGTCAAAAGGATAAAGTATTAACAAGGAAATATTCAAAGACTAAGTATGAGTCATTAGTATGTGTCATAGGATATCTTCGAGGCTTGTGAGATGCCAAAAGGATCCTAAGACCACGTGTGTAAAAATCAAAGAGTGGACGTTGTCTTTTAGGGCAACAACCACTACCTATAAGTAATGGGTATTGGAAGTGAGAGACATTTTATTCCATACTCTCTTTGTGTGCAACCTTGCTGATGCTAAGTGTTGTATCTTCAAAGTGCTTGTTCTTCAATAGGGACACTATCAATGGCTGAAAGGACCTATCAACCATCTTCAAAGAGAACAAAGATCAGAATATGTGACAAATATAATTTGTTGCATCTTAAATTTTCTCAATATATAAAGGCCTCTCTTTGTGGACTTCATTCCTAGGAAGGGGGGGGGGAGGATAATATCATGGATATGTATAAGTATTCTATTAAATACCTATATAATTAGATAGAAGTAAGTATAAAAAAGATAAAAATAAATTAATTACATAAGACCTTCTAGAGAAGCTTTCTAAAAGCTTCATAGATGCTTCTTTAACTTTACATATATTTGTAATTGATTGATAGGTTAAAAAACTAATCAACAAATTAATCACATGTTAATAGCTTGTAGAACAAGCTAACTATATAGCGCATATATAAAAAACTTGCCTAGTAAGTTAAGATATGTATCTTGCAAAGTCAACATATTTTGGAGGTCCTATAGGACATTGTGACTTAGCTCTTAATTAAGAATATATAAGGACGCAAGAGTGAAGTCTTCTTCACTCTTGTGAATATCTTTTTAGTCCTAAATCTTGTTTGAAGATTATCTATTCTTTTTATTTTTGGCAATAGCTATTGTTGCAAATGTAATTTATCACATCTTAGACTTCTTCAACATGTGCTCACTACTCTTTGTAGAATTTTTTCTTTATAAGAAAGGATAATATATCAAAGACATGAATCTCAAAGAAAAAAAATCATCAATACACTCTTGTGTCAGTGGAAAGAACTAGAATGTCACTCAAAGATGATATAACATTAAACTTATTTATTATTTGATAATTTTTGATTTCGTCTTAACTTCCTTTAATGAAAATATTTGGAACACTATAAGAAGTGGTTTTTACATTCAATAATATCACCAAACTTTAAAATTCTTCTCTAAGGTCATGATACCAAATGAATTGTATCTTGCCATTTATTTGAAAGAATATGTTATTTTTGAAGGTCCTTATCTCAATTATATTATCTTGAAGACTATAAAAATTTCAATGCCTTATTTAATAATTCATCAAACAATTGTTCTTGAATTAAATTTAGTAGTTGTTGATTCTTCATTTCTTTAATGCTACAATACAAAAAAAACCACAAACAAAGATAGAAGATAAAATGTGATTTTTATTAAACCTTTTTTTATTTTATAGCATATAATTCCTTGACTTTTCATCATGATTTTTATGGATATTATCGATGAAAACCATTGACCTTTTATACTAAGTTTGTAAGATTTATGGATGGCTTTTACGTATAATCATTGATATCATATCTATATCAATGTACAAGATATTTCAATCTATTTTGGTGCCACCTTGAATCTAAAATCTCTTCCACTTTTAATTTTTTATTGTAATTTATTTCTATATGACAAGGTAGAATGTATCTTTTTTTTGATATATTCACTATCTTTTATAATTCAAAAAGAGACATATACAATATATGATGGATCGTTATAAAATCCAACAGATATAATTATTATGTAATTAGATTGATTTATTTAGAAATAAAAGTTATATTAATTCCATGGTAATTTAATTTATGACCAAGCTAATAGTCTTAATATTATGACAAAATAACTATACCTTGTTGCCAATATATGATTGAGGTTGTTTCTTGTAATAGATATTTAAAATGATCTTTTATTATTCATGAGTTTTTTTTAATTGTGCTTTCATTATTGCATATAGCTTTGATAAATAATTTTTTAAAACTTTTGTTATAAGATTATTAATTTTTGAAAAGTAAAAAGTATCAAATTATAGATGATAACCATAGTTAACATAAAAATGTGATTATTGAATAGAAGAATGTACCATATTATTGTAAGAAAACTTTGCTAATAGCAAAAGAATTGTCCAATCATCTTAATGATAGTTGATAGTGCATCTTAGATATTGCTTTAATACTTAATTTACTTATCTTGTTTATCCATCCATTTGAAGATGGAGAGCCAAAGATAACTTTATGTCTACCTTCAATATCTTAAAAAGAGTTTTTTAAAACCTTGATACAAATTGAATTCCTCTATCTAATATTATATGCTTCACCTTTCAAAAAATATAAGTTTCTTTGAAAATAAGATAGATTATTTTTAAATTTAAACATACAAGTATGATGAGATTTAAAAGGATTATTTTTAATATCATGAAAGTAAAGATATGAAGACATAAATGAATTTGATTAAGAGAGGTTGAATCAAAAGTTAAAGATGGAATTATTAATATTTTTTAAAAAGATAAAATATACTTATTTCTACTTATTTCTATCTTACTCCCTATATCTAATTAAATATATATGCTCATGACACTACCACAACTTGGCACCTACTTAACATGTTTTTATAGTTTTTTCATTCATATATATATATATATATATATATATATATATATATTTTAATATTTTAATATACTTCTTTATATTATATAGATTATATCTTTAATTTTTTTAAAAAAATTAAAAATTGAATAAAAATAAGATATGGTGGCAATAGTAAAAACTATGGTGGCATATGATAAATGGCAAATTAAAATAAAAATAGAAATGATTGTAGTGACATTAACAACATCTTAAAAATATTTTATTAAAATTTCTAATTTTATGCTTTTAAATTAATATTTAAAATAATATTTTAGTTATCAAGTTTAATGCTATTGACTTGCTTTTAATAATATAAATTTACACAAACATAATAAGAGATAATATACTTTTGTACAACTAAGACAAAAGAAATCTCTTCTTGTTAATAAGTATAATTTTTTAAAGAGTTTTGTATGTAAATTGGAGTACAAAAAATGTATTAAGGTAACCTTTGTTATCATCCACTTGTACTATCTTTTGCATCAACTCAAAGTTAAATATATATTTTTTAATAAATTAACTAATTACAAAAGTATTTGTTGTGAATTTGGTCTTCTTAGTTCATGTTTTAAAGATAAATCATATTATGATAAAAATAAGAAAAATGATGCATATAAGTAACTAATTAGATTATAAGATTGTAAAAATATTATTTTTATATTATGATATAAGTCAATTTAGACATGGTTGATACCATAATTAAATAAAATCTGAAGATTGTGTAAGAATAATAATAAAGAAGATTTTTGAAATGTTACTTTTTGAATGTATAAGTAAATTTTATCACTAATGAAAACACATCCATTTCTTTTAAGAAACACTTTAAAATTTGAATACAAAAAAGTTGTTAAATTCAATGGAAAATGTCAATTTTTTTGGTGTACCATCAGAGAAATAAAGAAATAAAGAAAAAATATATATATATATATATATATATGCACATACATGAAATAGATACGTATTTGAATTTTGAATTTTTTTAAAGTATAATTATGTGCTTTTGAAGAGGATTAATTTTTTGTACTATGTAAAGTCTCCAAACCATTACAAGTCTTCTGAAGCAACTTATGCAAAGAATTTAAATTGAAGTCAAATATGTTGAGGTCTGGACCATAAATAAAAGCATCCAAAATAATCATCAATCTCATACAAATATTTTTTACAAAGCATAAAGTCGCGTCCTTCAAGAAAAGCTGTTCTTCTGGAATTCTCTGCATAAAACAAAGGAAAATTGACTTCTATTTTTTTGTAACAAAGGCTTGCCAGGTCTTATCAGTCTCAAGCTCAGAACGAGTTAACTGTCTGCGTTTGATAAATGTCTTGAGATTTGACCTTTCTGTCAAGTTAATTCAAATCAGTTAAAGCAAGACTAGAGTATTATCCAGTATCTTCTCTAGTCTTGTTGACGGAATGAGAAATCATGTCAATGCCTCTTATTTAATCGAGCCTTTGAAGGTCAAAGAAATACAAGGTGCTGGTGGATCTCTGAATTTGGAGGTTTTGTAGTGACAGCTGATCTCCATTGTGAAGTTCCATGGGATGCAACATTTCATTACCATTCAGCTGAGCTTGTGCCATGGAGAGCATTTTGATCACAACAAACCCCTTCTCATCCACGCATTTGTTGGCTGGCATGTAGACGATCATGGATTGCGGCTCAATGCAATCCTCGGTTAGACACTGTATATCATCCCCGAATCCAAAGCTGTTGACGCCAGCCTTCAGGAAGTGTACCCTCCATTTTCCAGGAGTCTGACTTGTTACTCTGCAGGTACCTGTGGGAGTGCCATATGTCAACCGCACCCTCAGGCTATACTTGGCCATCTGAATCTCTATAAAGAAAGGAGTGGCGCTTTCAAACGAGATCGACTCCACCCCAGAGTGTGTCAACTCTCTCAAAGAAATTACAGGACTGTCCAGGTGAGTCTCGCCTTTCAAGTCGATCGTCCTTCTCGGTTTAATTGCCTTCCGTACATTTAAGTTCGGTAGTGTTTCTTGTGCTGGAATTCTCTTGATTAGTTTTGAGAATAGCCACCAGGAACAAAATACGCTGGCCAGTGTGGTGAACATCTTCTGGTGAAGTAGCTTGCTCTCGATGTGTTTGAAATTCCAGCCCTGGTTTACTCCAGTAGTTGAAGGTTCAACTTTGGACCCTCTTTTTGGTCCTTTTATAGGTTCTGATTGTACAAGTTGAAGCGTCTCGTCGAATCCTTGACCCTTGTAGCTCTCCTGTTCCTGATAGAGAAGTTAAATTTATACTGTAAAGTTGCAGTGCCTCTTGCGATGATTTTGTTATTAATAACAATCTACATATCAGGGAAGACCTACTCTCATTTTGCAAGCAGCAGGATGATGAGTTCAATATTTAAAGCTTTGCTCACCTCATCTCTGGAGAAAGTGATCTTAGGCGTTTGCGTGTCAACATCGAGACGTTTTGGAAGAAGGGGCGCTTTCTGTCCTGCGAATGGTGGTCCTTGGTCAGGCTCAGAATAGCCTCCATTAATGTAAGTGTTCTCCTAGGACCTTGTTAATGCTTTAAGAGCCCAATTAAAATTTCAAAAAAAGTTGTAATTTGTTCTCAAAATACGCCCTCAAATGAACAGGTAAAGCTGGGATAACAAAATAAATGCAGAAATCGAAAATGCTAGATGTGTGCAGTAGCAGAGTTATAAACTATTCCGCTATCATAATACGTATTGCTGTGAAGTATCCCTTGCAGTTGAGAATCCGTTTCATTGAAATTTAGTAAGAGAATTTCGTGCAGACTGAAGGCCCAAACCCAATTGGACTTTCAAATGACCACAAAAATTTCTTCTGCAGCGCAAATATGTAAGATGGAAAACAATAGACGCTCAAAGTTATTAGAGGGAGTGCATCAATTATTTTAGGTGTGAGTTTTTATAAAAGTGTAACCGTTTATGCACTGGGTTTCGATAGGTTGCGAACTTTACGGTATCAGGTTTTCAGATAATTTCTCCTTGTCATATTGGACAAATTTGTCAATAACTAATGTCTCTTTGAGAAATAAAGGGTGCAGTTTTACCTGGACACCCCAGCTTATTGAGGCTTCTTGAGCTCTGTCGGATAATGCAGTCGTGGTAGCTCTGCGAAGTAGAATAAGTTCTTGTTTCAGTTTGTAAATGAGATTGTTTCTAGGGTCACGATCACCTCCTTGTGTATCGCCTTGAATTGTGGTCGCTTGGACAGCGTATCTCAGAGTACTGAGGGTTTCTCGCAAATCCTGATTCAATCACGGATGGGTAGGTTGGTTAATACTCTTCAAACTCAATTGTCAAACCTTTTGCTCCCTTGAGTCTGAGTTTCAGGGAATACATGTTCAGTAGCTGATATATTTGCAACCATGAACGTTTTGTTGTTGCCGCCTAAAGAATCTCTTAATAACCAAGTTAGTACTGAGCTGCGGTATGACGGGTGGGTTCCCTTTGAGAGGCTCAAAATGACCTGTCTTGCCCAAGAAACACAGCAAGGGTGAGATGTCTTTAAGGAAATCCTGTTTCATGTTTGATGGAAATCCTCTATTATCAGACTGAAATTAATAGTTCCAGCAACAAAGAGGTATTCACCTCTAACCTCATTTAGCATCGTTAGTGATAAATTTATAGCTCGAGATTCCTCCCCTCGAGTAGCTGTCTCTACCGTCAGCAAGTCAGATGGCCTCTCACTTCCTGCATCCACACATTCTAGCAGATCATACGTATGTAGATTCATTATAAAATCATGAGGAATTGTAAGAAATGTGAAGCCATGACTACAATGCTCATGTACCGTGACCAAGTCGTGGTGAAAAAAATATGACACAGTAATAATGCCACAAGTAACTAAAGCTAGTTGGTTGAATAACCTGCAAGGTCCACGAGATTAATATTACATGTATCCGTTATTGTGATTTCTGAAGTTCTTTCTGTCTGTATCAGACACAATTGCTTGTTAGGTGAGGCATCATTTTAAAGAAGGATGGTAAATACATGCTTTGGTCTAGGAATAATAATAATAATAATACTTAAAAGGATGAGACCGGAAACCTTGGTGATTCTGATAGTAAACAAGGCATGGCTTCGACTAGAGTGTGCATTTGCATCTGTAGTGTGTGTTGTGCGTAAAGCAGAGCCATATTTTAAAAACGTCTTAATGTCCATCCAAGTTTCGACGTTCTTCCACATTAAGCCTTCCACATAAGGCCCATTCACTGGATGTTCTCGCACTTTCAGGTATTGCTGTTCCTTGGCGAAGTCAGTCTGTGCTGCTTGAAATGATTTCCAGTTGGGCATGCGCTTTGACCCTCTTTGTACTCCTAGAACCTCCTTAGGAGGGGACTGTTGAACTAGCTGTGTTGGGGAACCGCGTTTAAAGTCACTCAAGGACCCTGAAGAAGGAACGTGTTTCAAGCCCAAGCCTTGCTTTGAACCACGAGCTTGCTTCAAATCACCCAGAGACCCCGTTCTGGTCATACTAGTTCTGCCCTTCACACTTATTTCTGGTTCAGACTGTTTTTCTTCAGGCGATTTATCTGCTACTAAAAGGTCACGGATTCTCTCATTATAAATTTCGAAGTAACATACCTGCACTGCCAAATTTCAAGTTCGATAGTCTGGAAATTCATTGCTTGATTGTCGGAATGACTCAGAGTGGGAAACTTGACATGTGAACTGAAATTCAGACTAGGAATGCGTGTAAAGCAGCTTGTGGAGGAAGCAATTCATTACCTCCGCCTTGATGTCCTCTCCTTGTTCCCGTTTTTCTGCTATGCGAGTCATTAATTCGCTGCTTAGTCTTGGCATCTACCAAGCGACAGCAATTGACTTGTTATACATATACTCGAACTAAAACTGCACTATCTACAAGCTAAATGGCTGACTTTGAAGGTCACATGCAAGATTCTGGCGTGAAATTTTATTTTGATTCTGACAAGTTTGGCTTTATTAAATCTGGGAATTTTTTTGTAGGTTTGGCATGAATTGAATTGAATTGAATTGAAATGGAGTCCTCCGAGGATGCTATTATATCTATAAGAGCATGCAGAAGATGAGAAAAGCAGAATTGGTAAGATCCCACACGTAGTATTGTTATGACACTCTTAGTACAGCAGTTGAGCTTACAATGCCTCGTCCTTGATAGGAACTGTCTCCCAACATAGTATATGTTTTGCCAGAGCCCGTATGTCCGTAAGCAAGGATCTGTTGATACAAAAATAATCGGGTGTATATACAACAAATATTAGTTGAAACATCTTCGATAAGATAGCATGGACCTGATGAAGTAGCGTAGACAGTTTATAGGGAGTCAGACATCACTCACGGTTGTATTCAAGCCGTCCAGGGCATGTTCAATACACGGAACGCCTAACACCTCAAACATTGCATTCTGAGAGTCATTTTTGTCGGAATTAGTCTGCTCAATTGCCAAGCTGTCATCCTGCTCACGAAAGTTGACAAAGTGGTTCAAATGATTTCCATGTCCACTTGATCATTCTAAAAGGGCCACGATATAACTCTTTAGTTCAAAATGAGGTGATAAGGTTCACAACATAGATAATTCTATTCGAATCGAGGCACCTCCAAGTATTGTCGAAATTAAAAGTGAGATGAGGCACCTGCACGTAGTGTGCGGTGAATTTGAGCGACTCCTGGCGTTGGCCATGCTCGTTATCACGAACAATCACAGTCCTGTCATCCACCGTTTCGATCACCTGTTGCATGCCGTGATAGCTCAGAGATATTGAAAAATGTCTTCCGTAGAACTTATCTTCCTCTGTCATCTTAAGTGTCAAATGGTATGTGGAATGCCATCTTCTGTTAGTCAATTTGAAAATTTCCTGCCAAGGCTTACAATAGAAGCAATTGGTAATCTATCAATCCACGAGCGTGTCAAGTCTTTGTACCGGTGGCAGAGGTCTCTCTTCATCAGCGGTGAAGGGGCGGATTCGCACCACCACTTTGACCTGCAAAAGCCACCAACCGCCACCCAAGATTTCATCTCTCACGCTCTCTCATGTAAATCTTGTGGAGAGATATGGATAAGGGTAGGAGAAACATTGGTCTTTGCAATCTAAATTAGGTTTGGATTATCGCAACACTCAGCAGATGTTTAACTATGCTTCTAATTTGCCGCGTTAAGAGTAGATTACCACCTTATTAAGGTCGCCAGGAAGTATAGATTTGTATGTATCTGCAACCTTCAAATGCGGAGATGCGTCTTGGGATGGGCTACGCTCCTCCGAACCTCCGCATCCAACTCACCGGTTACTCTCATTTCAGTTTACGGACTAAAAAGACGACCTCAAGGCCGTCTAGACTAAAGATTCCGATGGATGTCCATAACACAGAGCACATATTCCAACTTCGTGCAGAGAGACGTAGCGGAAATACTCTCAACAGTGTGTTAATTGCCCAATTAGGTCGTTTATCGCTGATTGGGAGTTAAATCAGGAAAGTATGGAGTAAGTCTTTAGGGCATACTTAAATAGTAGTGTCTACTTTGCCCCAGGTTTAGCTTCGTTCGAAGCGGATCATTCGGGGTGTACATGTGCTTCCTGACATCAGGAATCGCTGGTGCGAGACCATTGATTTTAGACCCGGGCGGCCTAGCATCGTGAATCCTTGGCGGCAGGCTTCTTCTCTGATCCGATGTACACCCTGCATCATCATATGAACCCTTGTCTGCAACTCGAGAAAACACCCCGAAACGTTTAGCCATAATTTGAGACTCACAATCTCGATGGGTCGGGACCTCTTTGTCTTACTCCATGTAAATTGTCACGAACCCTAAAACACCTTGAGAAGTTGCATTGCCACTCAAAGATGGTCAACTCGTTCATCACGACGATGCAGAAACTTTTGAGAATCTCAAATCATTTAAAATTTTAAACCATGTTAAATTCAATAGCTCTCATTGTTGTGGCCCTAAATCAACTCATAAATCACCCTCTGGCGTTCTGATAAGCATGCACACGAATGCTTCAGTATCTCCAATTTGAGCCAACTGGGCCTCATGGAGCAATTCATCAACGCAGGCTTGGCTCTCTCAAAGACCCTATCGACGCTAATCAAAACAACCCAATGCGCTTACATTCAAAGGAATTCTCATACTCAAGGGATTCAACCTCAATGCTGACTTCAACATTCTGCGACGAACCCAAACCACCAATGAGAATTCTATCGAAAGCACGCTACATCTGCATGGTCGTAGCTTAATCTAAAAGATCAACGCCCGAAGGGTCACCAGAAGCTCATTTCACCTAAATATGCATGACAAACCCTAACCAGGGTCTGGTGGACTAAACTCCTCAGACTAAACCTCCTCCTCTTCATCACAAGGAAAAGATTTAACAAAAATTAAACATTTTTGTGGATGTTAGAGTAGGAGAATGGTGGAGAAAAAATGTTCAAATGCAACTCAAATTTACTTTCATTACCCTCTCTTTTATCCATGCTAAATTTTTCTATTGTCAAAAAAAAAAGAAAAAAAGAAAAAGATAAAAAAAAAAAAAGGTGATTTTAGGAGAAACTTGATTTTTGGACTCATTTATTATATTCTTAATTAATTTTTTCTATAAATATGCTTTATTTTCTTCTTATCTTGATTGACTGGAACATCCTTAAACTGATGTTTGGTAATTTTTAGTTTCACTTTGCTATAGAAGCAATTCTAAATTAGTATTGATTTGATTTTAATCTCATTCTTTGTCCCTGCTCCTAGTTGTAAGAACTTAGTGCATTTTAAAAGAGTAGAATATCTTACTCCAAAGTTCTTAAGGAAAAGAAGTTTTAAAAGAGATAAAAAGACCATGAAGTGAGAAGAAGGAGAAGAAGGAGAAGAAGGTCCAAATAAGGTCAAAACATCACCCATGAGCACAATTGTCACTATATTAATTCTTCATTACCAAGATTTGAACCCAACATAAAGTTGTTATATATGACCTTTCATACCACCTACACCAACTTACTTCATTATTCTCATGGTCAATAAACATTATTAGATTTATTAAAAAAATATATATTTTGCTTAGTTCATTGTTTGTCTTTTGCCCTAGAAGAATGAATGGGTAGTAGAAAGGATATCTACATTCACTAGTATATTTACTTTCATAAGTAGAACTAGGTACAAATAGAAGTAGGTTAAATTGTCGAAATCTTGTTGACAAGCTTTTTAGAAGCTTTATAGACTTTACACATATTTAGAAGTGATTAGTAGCTTGAAAAATTGGACAACAAATTGGCTACATGTTGCACATTTAGCTACTTGTGTTACATGTTGGCCATATGATATACATGTCAAAAACTTGCTTTAGAAATTAGAAGTGTGCCTCATAAGTTGGACATGTATTGTATGGCTTATAAGACATTGCTATATAGTTTTTTAGTAGTTAATATATATGGAGGTAAGAGTGAAGTCTTTCTTACTCTTGTCAACATTTTTATTATGTTTTATCTTGATTCAAGACTTTCTAGTGTTTTTGCATTTGACAATAGCCATTCTAGTTTTATTTCTATATCTATTTTTTTATTTGATGATATAAGAATATATTACTATTTTTAGAATTTTTTTATAATTCATATTTTTAATAGATAATAGGCTTGGCAAAACCTTAAACTAAATAAAATCTTATTATAATATCTTAGCCTAAAAGATGTTCTATCATAGTACCTATATTATTAATAATTGTCAATGACATAAATCATAAAAAAAATTCTATAATAGTAATATATTCTTGTGATATTTAAAGAGAGAAAGTAGAAAAATCAAAGTTAGTTATAAAATAGAAATTAAAATAACTATTGCCAGATATAAGAAGACTAAAAGTTCTTATAGCAAGACTAAAAACAAGAAAGATATCAACAAGAGTGAGGAAGGCTTCATTCTTGTCTCTATACATATCATCTAACTAAAGAGCTATGTGGCAATATTGTATATGTCATCTGACATATGTCCAATTTGCAAGGCAAATTTCTAACATATGCGACACATGGCTAATTTGTTGGCCATATTTTTAACCTATCAATGACCTATCAATACTTGTAAGTCAAATCCATGAGTGAAACTAAGAAGCTTCTCTATAAGATATTATCAAACTTACTTGCTTCTACTTATTTGTATATAATTATTTTAATCTAGATATTAAGGATATAAACCTTAAAAAACTAAAAGGTCAGTATACTCTTTTGTTGCTCAAAAAGATTAGATAATCACTTAAAGGTGATATAATATTAAACTAGAATGGCTATTATTCAAAATAAAAGACTAAAAAGTCTTTAAAAAAAAATTAAAGGCTAGAAAGATATTGACAAGAGTGAAGAAGGCTTCATTCTTACCTCTATATATACTATCTAATTAGAAGCTATGTAGCTATATTCTATAGAACTTCTAATATGTGTTGACTTTATTAGACATATGTCTTAACTTGTAAGGCAAGTTTTCTATATGTGCACCATATAGCTAACTTATTCTATAAGCTATCAATAGATGTAATACATGGTTAATTTATTGGCCAAGTATCTAACCTACCAATCAACTACAAAGACATGTAAAGTCAAAATCACATCTATGAAGCTTCTAGAAAGCTTTTCTAAAAGATGTTATAAAATTAATCTAATTTTATCTACTTTTATCTAAGCATATAGATAATTATTGGAATAAATCTATAATATTATCATCTCTTCTAAATGTGAGTTCCACGAAGAGCGGTCATTATCTTTCATGGATCTTGTTATTCTTTATCTTGATTTTGATAGATGTCATCCATAAAAAGCTTCAACTCTCTTTGTTTTATTTTTAAGATTCTTTGCTGTCTTCCATGTCTATTCACTATTATCATATCCATACCAATGAACAATATATTCCAAACTATTTTGGCACCACCTTGAATCTAAGACTTCTTCAACCTTGAACTCTTAATTATTATCTACTTTTATAGAAGGATGTGATATTTTTTTTTCTTCTTGAAATATTCATTGAGTTATATGACTCAAAAAGAGATATGTAAAATACAAGATGGATCTTTAAAGACTCTCATAAATATAATCAATAAATAATAGAATTGACTTATTTATAAATAGGAGAAGGTCCAAGTCTACAACAATTCAACTTGTTACAAGAATAAATAGTCTTCATATTATGATGAAGTAATCGTACCTTATTATATATGATGAATTGTGGTTTTTTCTTATAATAGGCATTTACATTGATCTTTTGTTATTCTTGAGCTTCTTTTCACTGTACATTTATTATTGTATGTAATTTTGACAAATAATTTGTTAAATCTTTTGCCACAAGATTATCAACTTTTAAAAAGTCAAAAGTATTAAATCATGGATGATAACCATAATTAGCAAAGAAAGATATTTTTTATTTAAAAAAATATATCAAATTATTATAAGTAAATTCTGACAATGGCAAAAGATTTGTTTAATCATGTTAATGATAGTTGATGATATACCTCAAATATTACTCTAGAACTTAATTCATCCATTTCTTTCGTCGATCAATTTGAAGATGAAAAGTCAAAGAGAGTTTTATATCTAACTTTAAATTTTTTTAAAATATTTTCAAAATCTTAATACAAATTGAGTCTCTTTATTTGATATAATATCCTTTGACAATCTATGATAGCAATAGATATTGCCAAGAAAAAATTTAGTTTTGGTTTTTTTTTTTTTTTTTTTTTTTTTTGTTTTTTTTTTTTTTTGTTACCTATGATAGATTTTATACGTAGTATAAAATATTTAATCTTGGTAAAATAATCTACTATCACAAATATAAAATTATACAAAGCTAAAATTGAAAGATTTGTGATAAAATCCATAGAGATAGAAGACCATATTTGTTTTAGAATAAGTAATAGCTGAAGAAGTCCATAAGATTGATGATAAGGAATTTTGGATTTTGAACAAATATCATATGATTGTACAAAGTCTTTGATTGCCTTCTATATTTGAAGCCACCAAAAATCTCTAGATGTAATCTTCAAAGTTGATTGTTAAAAAGTCATGATGAGTTTGAAAAATATGTAATTATCTTTCTATTTTTGAAATATATAGACAACTTTTGAAATAGAATAGGTATCATAGACATATTATTATGAACATACATACTTATTCTAATAATTATCTATATAATTAGATAGAAATAACTAGAAGTAAATAAAAATATATTAATTTTATAATATCTTTTAGAAAAGCTTCTTAGAAGCTTTATAGACATGATTTTGACTTTATATGTGTTTATAGTTGATTTTTAGATTAAAAACTTGGTCAAAAAATTAGCCACAAGTCACATGTATAGATAGCTTATAGAACAAGCTAAATATGTAGCATACATATAAAAAACTTGCTTTATAAGTTAAGATATGTGGCTTACAAAGTCAACACATATTAAAGGTCCTATAGAATGTCACCACGTAGCTTCTAGATGGATAGTACATATAGAGGTAAGAATGAAGCTTTCTTCATTTTTATCAATTCCTTTCTTACTTTAGTATAAATTTAAGAGTCTTTAATTTTTTTTTCTTTTAGCAATAGTCATTCCATTTTTTTTTAATATATATATATATATATATATTTTATTATGTCATAATTTTTTGAAAAAAGTCTCACTTGATTATTTGCTTTCATTCTGTTCTTTTCTTTAACAGATTGATAAGAATATATTTATATTATCAGAGTTTTGTCATTTTTTGATTAAAAATAAATTATCCCTTTTTCTTGATAAAATATAAGTACATTAGAAGTTACTAATTATCTTCTTTTAAATTGATATTGTATTTAATATTTTCTTTTTTTTCAAATCCTCTTTACTATTTGTCTTGAGCAATATTAGACATCTTTTTTTTTTAAGTATTATAATGATAGAGCTTCTTAAAATAAAGAATGCAATGGCACAAATGCTAGAGCAATTCAGGAAGTTAATACTTGCGATGCATCAATTCAATTTACCACCTTTAAGGAGGAATAAGAATGGCAAGGAGCAAAGATATAGAAATGATTGGAACTGCTTCGATATCTGTATCAAATCGTGTCCTTTTTTTAATGATAAAACACACTTCTAGTATTAAAAAACCAAGGATTGCATTGCTCAAGAAGTTAAATGACATAAGATCCAAATTTCAAGGATTTATCAATTAAATACAACTTATGATTGAACTTCAACTCCAAAGCTATCCAATCCCAAGATCACAAGTTAGATTCATTAATACACTTCTTTCAAGTTTAGCATTATCATGATTTTTAA